ATTTAACTAAGGGGGTCCTAGTTAAATTAGGGAGAACAATCTTTTAGTTTACCAAATCTCATACAAAGATAAGAATCAAATTACGTCTGAAAACCTGTGTGTCACCAGGACAAATGTTCACTTTTATCCTTTTGTTCTGCTGATGGCGGTACCAGAAGTAGTTGTCGGCTGACCGATGTATCTCAGGTGATTTTCCCCAAAGAAGTGCTTCAGTGTAGTGGCCGGTCGGACACTCAGGGTGTCTGTTCAGCTGCTGGCCCTTCAGTCAGAAAGGTGGGTGATGAGCTGGTGACAACGGGGTCCGGTCCTCCCCAGGTGGCTGCAAGACTTCTTAATTTGATTTCAACTCTGTAGAGAAAACAAACTAAAAACGACGCATGAATTACAATTAGCTTATTCTATAAAATCAAACTCAGGTTTTGAGTCGATATTAAATGATGGCTGTTCGTTCAACCCAGAATTGGTTGAACGATTCAAATCCTAAAGTTTCTAAGGATTAAATCATGAAATAAAACACACATCTTCTTCAGGAAAACATTTCATCATAACAATTAACACCACAATACACACAGCTATTGAATAGTTAACTAAGCAAACTTAGTAGATCCTTTATGGTCTTTTTAGTTCTTTCTTGCAAGAAAAATGGATTTGATGACATTCTTTGCAATAAGACAGAAAACATTAGATACACATATTCCTTTATCTTTTCCCCTTTTTTTCCACATTTAATGAAGAATGTAGATTCCTTTGTTCCCAGTCACGCCGTAGAGTCTGGTTAAAGGCATTTATGATCCCTTTGAAGAGGAGCAAACAGACAGTCCTGTGCTTATGGGGGATGGAAGCAACAGAACTCGTGGGGTTCGGAACAGGAATGTGGCAATTCTTATCTATTAACAGTAAGGCGTCAGGACGTCTGGTGGGGGTTTGTGTAAGAGATGTTAATTCAAGCCACAAAGGAAGTTCCATGCAAAAGTCTTCAGAAATAGTCTGAAGTTAAAGTGGGGGTTTTCTTCCTCTTTGAGCCGTTGCCATAGAAACAAGTGAAATCTAATCAGAAATTATTATTTATGTGCAGGAAAATGCTACACACCCATGCAGTAATTATCCAACATGAGGCTTTTTTTTTTTTTTTTTTTGGCCGGGCAGTGTATCGTCAAAAGGTTTCAAGAAACCCCAGAAATCTCTGAGCTCAAAAGACAAGACTGAAAATCAATATAGAAGATCTTTAGGCCCTCAGGGGCCACTGCATAAAAAAAAACAGGTTTGATTTTGTCACAGATATCACTCCATGTGCTCAGAAACACACAAATCATTGTAAGCAAAGTTCACTGTGCCATCCACAAATATCGCTTAAATCTCTAAGCCGGGAACAAATGGTAAATGGACTGTACTTATATAGCGCCTTTCTATCCATCAGGGACACTCAAAGCGCTTTACACTGCAGACATTCACCCACGCACACACATTCACACACTGATGATGGCAAACTACAATTGTAGCCACAGCTGCCCTGGGGCACACTGACAGAGGCGAGGCTGCCATACACAGGCGCCACCGGACCTTCTGACCACCATCAGTAGGCAAGGCGGGTAAGGTGTCTTGCCCAAGGACAAAATGACTGAGTCGACTGGACAGGAATCGAACCGACRACCTTCCAGTTCCAGGTCAACTCCCCTAACCACTCTACCAGCCGCCCCGGAACATCYGGAAAGACAGCTGTCCTCTTTGTGCCAAAGCTCATTCAATTTGCAAAATTGTTCGGTGATCAGATGTATCAAGTTTTGATCTCTTTTACTTTTTAAACCAAGTATACCAGACTAAAGAGCAGGGGGCCCATTTAGCCTGTTAGCAAATAAAATATGCCTCTCTCATGTTATAGGGGTTAATTAATTAGCATGGGCAGATTACACAGAAAAGTATTGTCATGATTTATTAATATTGGTAAATAGTGGTAGACAGCACTAATCTAAAAATTAGTTTCACCAGCCCTAAAACACTAACTCAAATATTTAGGTCCCCTAATTCTAAAGCACTAACTCAAAWATTTAGGTCCCCTAATTCTAAAGCACTAACTCAAATATTTAGGTCCCCTAATTCTAAAGCACTAATGCACTGAACGTTTTAGCAAAAACTAATTCTAAAGCACTAAAAAAAAAAAAACAGTCAACCCATGAACATACTTCAACAGACAACATTCAATTCAATTCAAAAATACTTTATTGATCCCAGAGGGAAATTAGGTAAACATGAGTCACATATTGCTGTGTTGCTCTCTTCAGACTTATCATTGACATTCCACAGCTGTATTTGTGTTCATATATTATAAATATGTCACCTAGTGGATAAGTGACACCCATATGAACAAAATGTGTGACAGCTTTCACCCTCAGCTGTTCAATAACATTTATAGACCTCAGTTAGTGCTTCTAAATTTAGCCTATAAATTTAGCAAGTGCTAATCCACTAATAAATTTTAAAATTAGCGAAAGCCCTAAAGCACTAATCGGGAAATTAGTTCCACTATTAGTGCTTTAGGGGAACCGTGCCCACCACTGTTGGTTACATATTATCTGATAATTCATAGTTATCATGCAGTTTTGTTTTATTCATTAGTATTTGAATACTGTGCATCAATACATGAATATTCACTGAAAAAGTTGATGACTCAACAATACCAAAAATAAAACACTGTCTTTTAATTGTAAGAAAAATAGGAAATGTCCTGTTTGTTGTAAGCATTGCTATTATTCCATGTTGTATCTTTTTCACTCCATCATCAGTGTATTTCACTTTAATATCACCAGATAATTCCAATTAAACAGGTTTTTGGCCTGTAGTATCTGTAAAAGCTGAGCGTGTGTGTGTGTGTGTGTGTGTGTGTGTGTGTGTGTGTGTGTGTGT